CTCATTACCTCACTCATGTAACTGTAACCCTCTGTATAGTATCTTTACAATAAAAATAAATAAATAAAATAAAGTGGTACAGTCTAGCTTCCGTAGATGAGAGCATTCTTATCACCAATGCCTGTCACAGCCTGTGTGGAGGATGACTCTTAGATCGATTTAAAAAAAAACAAAAACAAAAAATAAAAAAGGAAGTCAAGTGGCAGTGGCTCATGCCTGTAATCCTAGCTACTCAGGAGGCTGAGATCTAAGCATTGTAGTTCAAAGCCAGCTGGGGCAGGAAAGTCTGTGAGACTCTTATCTCTAATTAACAACCAGAAAACCCAGAAGTGGCACTGTGGCTCAAAGGGTAGAGAGCTAGCCTTAAACAAAAGAGCTCAGACAGCACCCAGGCCCTGAGTTCCAGCCCCATGACAAAAAAAAAAGAGAGGCTGAGATCTGAGGCTTGAGGCTTGAAGCTAGCCTGGACAGGAAAGTCCCTGAGACTTTTATCTCCAATTAATTACCAAAACACCGGCCCAAAGTGGTAGAGCACTAGCCTTGAGAAAAAGAACTCGGGAATAGAGCCCAGGTCCCCAGTTCAGGACTGGCACAAAAACAAGCCAAGCCATAAAGGAGCAACTTGAAAAAGTAGTTGAATTTAAAGAGTTTTTGTAAAAATAATTTGACTAGATGATATGCACATTTAACTGTGATTAAATTAGCAAAAATTACAAAAAGTTGCATAGTGGTAGCTCATGACTATAATACTAGCTTCTCAGGAGGCTGAGATCTGAGGACCACAGTTCATAGCCAGGCATAAGCTGAAAAATCCTCTTATTCTCAATTTACCAGGAAAAAAGCTGGACCTAAGGTATTGTACAAGTGGTAGAGCACTAGCCATAAGCAAAATGCTGAGAGAAAGCCTGAGGCCCTGAGTTCAAAGCCCTTCTATACTTGCAAGTACACGTACCGTTACACATAGACAGAAAAAGAAGAAAAAATGATTATTAGTAAAGCCTTAAAAAGTTCAGAATAATACATATCAAAAATGCAGCAGTGGTACGCAGTAAATCCTATGTTAAAAATGAACTATACAGCTTATGAGCGGGGGGACAAGAGGAAGAAACTGGATGAGAATGAAGGAAGTGATGACATTATCCAAAAAGAAATGTACTTACTACACAATTTACAAAACAGTAGCCCTTCTGTACATCACCTTTATAATAACTTGCTTAATAAAAAATTAACAAGATGTTAATTTTTACTTTGTTTCATATTTTAATGTTTCTTTTTCTCAAATTTTCTATTATGAGCTTTGAATTTGGATCCATCAAGAAGAGAAAAATAGAAATTAAAAAGTCAGTTATTCTTGTTTCTTCTAAGCGGGTTAAGGTGGAGATGATCATGTATTAATAAAGTTACCATTAATGTTCAGTATGGACCATCTTGTAGAGTGAGAAAATTTTGAGAAATTCATACTAATAGACACAAGATTATTACAGAATGATATAGCCATTAGACTGTACAAAGAAATATATATTCTTCATTTGGTCTTCATTCCAAGAGTACCTCTGACTAACAAAAATCTTTTTCAATTCAGTAGTATAACGTCGAATGTTACTATCTTATGCATTATATTGCCATTTAATAGCTAAAAGTTTTAAATTTTTATTTTGAAAAAATACTGCCTTCCGTGTTAAGCTTTCCCTTTTTCTTTTAACAGAAAAACAGGAAAAGGAAATTGACATCTATGCTAACCTCTCTGATGAAAAGGCTTTCGTGTTTTCAGTCGCCTTGGCAGAAATAAATAGAAAAATTATCAATCAAAGACTTATTCTCTGATATTTGTCTGCAAAATTTGTTGAAAACATTCTTCAGGATTACATCAGCAAATTCTCAAACCATTATGGAGCATTCTGGCAGCATCAATAAGGGCCACTTATTATTTTTTTTTTTCATATCATTTAGCCTGTGCCACAGTTTGGGTACAAAGCTGTAGGTTTGTATTATTATGGGATTTCTTTTTTTACCAAGGAGTATTGTCAATTTTTGTGTTGGGATAAGTAAGGGTATTTACAAAAACTAACAATGCTGGATGGATGTTAAGAGGATAAAAAAGGTGGGAGTAGAGGTGGAAGTATGAGAACTAGAGATGAAAATGCTTAATAGTTTTCAGATTTGCCACCAGAGATGCAATATTTTAAATACTGTCAGAAAGAGTGACTTTTACATATGTATATTTCAGATTTTCAGCACTAACAGATTACATACAATTCATTTACTTTCAATAAATTGGCAATTGCTAATTGAAGGGGGAATTAATATAAATCGTAAATTTGTCTTAGCTGATTTTTTTGAGGGGAATTTTTATGACTCAAGGTGGAGTTATATTTTAGGAGATTCTTTCTAGACAGTTTAGAAGTTTGGGTGCTATATGAAGAAAAACATTTAAAGATATACTTCAGATTTAAACACCTTGTTTTCTTGAATGTAATTTATTTATTGGTTAAAAAAGCTTTTCTGCTTTTAAGATGGTGCCTGTTAAGCTAAACATAAAATATATTTATTACATGCAAGTATTTCTTAGCCATGTTTAAGCAGTAATATTTTATCTAAGTGGATGTTCATTTAAACATCCTGTTACTTAACCTTACTCTGGAAGAAAAATAAACCTTAATATTGAAAGTAAGTAGATTAAATAGTGTGAAATATAGCTTTTTGTCCTAGTGGTTTGTGAAATAGTATTTTAGTTCTTAATTTTTATGTTAATTCATAAGCACTTACAGTTAATTTATTTTGTGCTAAATATTTTTGTATTTTGACCTACCAATTTAATGATTAACACATTCAAATTTGGCATTAATGCCACTTCTTTACAATTCCTTCTCCTTCCAGCCTATGGAAGTCTCACATTCTTATTAGGGGAGTTATTCGTAAGACTTTGTCCCAATTTAATAGAATCCTCTTTTTATGTATATATGATTATTTTTAAGTGGCACACAATACTTATATGTACTTGTGGGCACAGTGATTGGCATATCTATCCCCTCATTTATAATTTTTTGTGTGTTGTAAATATTTAGAAATCTCTGCTATCATTAATTATTGCCAGTTATAGTTCTCTTTCAGTTTCAACAGTAGCATTGCCAGTTTTGTCCTTAAGCTTGCATAGCCTTTTATCTCCCCAAAGAAGACAGGCCTACATTTTTTTCCTTTATTTAGGTTGGTAGCCAGCAGAGGGAGCTTAAGAAGTACACTATTAAGATTTTAGATTTTCTTAAGAACCTGTTTCCTCATAATAACTACCAGAAGGTACTACTAAATTTATTGTGTGTGCATTAAACTCCTAGTAATAATGTTTTCCTAATAATAAAATGTGATTTTTATCTTTGAAACATACTATTCAAAAACTTTTATTTTTACCATGAAAGCTTAAAAGTGATTAATAAGGAAAAGCAAGAACGGCTTGTGGAGTTGACATCTCTTTAAAGAATACTTGTTGTTACAGTGTATCATCCCCTTACAGCTGAGGACTTTAGAGGAATATAATATTAAAATATTAATTGGCTATGGTTAAAGAAAGATACTGACATAAGCTTGCCATGTAGAAACTTAATTTCCTTCATATGCTCATAATGTCAGCTTGTTGGCATATTTAAAGCTCCTCAGTTAGAGCAGCAAATTAGATGTTTCTGTTTTGTGACAGAACTCTTTTAGCCAGTTTCTCTAAAATATATATAGAACATATAATAGATATGTTTGTAAGCTGTCTTGTTATAAAGTTTGTCTAGGTCTGTTGTAAAATGGTCCCAGAAAAAAAGTACTACTTTGTCAATGGTGATGAAAGAAACCCCTCTTATCACCAAATGTCTTACAAGTGTTATTATAGTTCTTTAGTTACTTGAACCAAAATTTATTCTGCTATAACATCTATAAGTAATAATCATTCATAATGTACTGAAATGGTTCTATGGGTTTATTGAAGATATATGTATCTTAAAATTTGATTCAGATTAATACAAGTAATTTTGGAGAATTATATATAGAAACTATAGAAATATTTGTAGCGTAAACTTCTTTCTGACTTTATAATTCCATGGTATTCCACAATATTTTGGGGAATAATTTAATACTTGATGTTTGATTTTGTTTTTGTTTGATTTGTTATGCTTAGTTTTAAGCAAACATGGACATTTTTTTCCCATTTTAATGGACATGGAAGCTTTGGGTTATGTTTAAATATAGATTATCTAAAAAGTAAGCAGCTAGGTTGGTGGTACATACTTGTAATCTCAGCAATTTGGGAAGGAAAGGCAGGAGTATTATAATGAGTTCAAGGATACATAGTGAGTTTGAGGCTAGCCTAGGTACGCATAGCAAAATTCACTCTCAGAAAAACAAGACAAAAAAATTACCTGAAAGTAAAGAAAACACTGCAAAGTGCATTTCATTTAGCAATCAGATTATTACCAAACAGTTTACATTCTGATGGGATAAAAATAGAATTACAAGGCTGAAGATACAGTTTATTGATATTACCTAGTATATGTGAGGTTCCAGATTCAAATCCCCAGCACCATCAAAACAGAAAAATTACAAATGACTTAACATTTATTTTTATTTATTTTTTGCCAGTCCTGGGGATTGAACTCAGCCTGGGTGCTGTCCCTGATCCTCTTTGTGCTCAAGGCTAGTGCTCTACTACTTGAGCTACAACGCCACTTCCAGCTTTTTCTGATTAGTTATTGGTGATAAGAGTCTCACAGACTTTCCTGTCTGGGCTGGCTTTAAACCACAATCTTCAGATCTTAGCTTCCTAAGGAGCTAGGATTACAGGCATGAGACATGCCTGGCATGACTTAAAATTTTTGTCCAAGGTAATTCACTTTTTTTTAAAAAAACTCAGGATTGAACTCAGGGTCTTGTGCTTACTGGACAGGTACTTCACCACTTGAACCATGCCCACAGCCACATATCTTTAAATTTTAGACACTTTTTAAAAAAGCAACTTCTATGTTGCTTTTGAAAGTAATGGGTTTCTTTCCTCAGAATTCAGTCTTAAGTTTGTTTCCTAACTAGTAATTGTATTAATTTTCTAGTTATTATTTTAAATATGACCGCTCTGTGTGTGTGTGTGTGTGTGTGTGTGTGTGTGTGTGTGTTTTGAGGTTTTTTGAGTGCCCTGAGCTCTGTCTCTGAGCTTTTTCACTCAAGGCTAGCACTCTACCACTTTGAGCCACAGCTCCACTTCCTGCTCTTTTGGTGGTCAATTGGAGAAAAGAGTCTTACGGGCTTTCCTGCTTGGGTTGGCTTAAAACTCTTATCCTCAGATCTCAGCCTTTGAGTAGCTAGGATCATAGATTTGAGCCACTGGTGCCAAGCTTGTTTTTCTTTTGTTTTTTTGAGCTTGAAACTTGCCATTCTGCCTCACCCTAATGACTGCTGGGATTATGCAGTACTGTGACCCTTAGTATCCTTGGCATCCTTGCTTTCCAAAGAGAGTACTGTTGAGAAAAGCTTCAAGTGCTCAGAATGTGTAGAGGTTCATTTCTCTACTGAGTGTACTTGACTCATTTTCCCATAATGCTGGCCAATTTTTACTAAAGATATACCACCTTTCAACAAATCTAAAGTTTTCAGTTTATCATATCATTGTATGTCCTTTTTGACTTATAAGGATTACCATAACTTTTATTTTGCTTTTTCAGCACTATTTGCTTTCTTGGGAGGCATTTTTTCACAAAATTTAGAGCAGGAAAACACTCAGCAGACCACATAGTGATATAAACACAACCGATAGTGTGGGACTAGGTAAAAGCTGTGCTTCATCAACTGAGCTGCATAATACATTCTTGGGAATTTAAAGTTTGTGTGTATGTATGTATGTGTGTCTGTGTCCTGGGGCTTGAAGTCAGGGCTTGGGCACTGTCTTTGAGCTTCTCTTGCACAAGGATAGTGCTCTATCACTTGAGCCACAGCTATACTTCTGGCTTTTTTGTGATTAGAGTCTCATGAACTTTTCTTTCTCCTTTTTTTTTTTTTTGGTCGGTTGTGGAGCTTGAACTCTGGACCTGGGTGCACACTATCCCTCAGCTCTTCAGCTCAAGGCAAGCACTCTACCAGTTGAGCCACAGCACCACTTCCTTCTCATGAACTTTTCTGCCTGGGCTGGCTTCCAACCATGATCCTCAGATCTCAACCTCCTGAGCAGCTAGGATTACATGCCTGAGCCACTTTCACCTGGTTTCAACTTGCTAATCTTGGATTTTTTTTTTGTTTTATGGGAGCGCTTTGCATTTTTGGCTTCAAAATTAAAATGACCGTAGCAGGGTACCATTGGCTTATATGTGTAATCCTAGCTACTCAGGAGGCTGAGATCTAAGGATCAAGGTTCAAAGCCACCCCAGGCAGGAAAGTTCATGAGACTCAGTTAACGACCAGAAAACCAGAAGTGACGCTGTAGCTCAAGTGGTAGAGTGCTTGAGAGCTCAGGGACAGCGCCCAGGCCCAGAGTTTAAGCCCCAGGATCAACAAAAAAAAATAAAATTAGGTGACCTTTGTTTCTTATATAATGAATTGGAATTATTCTACCTGTTTTCTGAAGGAGATGTGTAGAATTACATTGTTATTTAAATATTTGTGGAATTTACCATTGGAGCCATAGTGGCCTCAAGATTTCTATTTAAGAAGGATTTTACTATGAACTAAATTTAATAGTAAGCAACTCAGTGATATATTTCTAATTGAATATATGATATGATTTTTAAGAAGCTGGTACATTTTATCTGAATGGTTGCAAATTTTGCTTGTAGAATTGTTTGTGTATTCTTTTACCATTTCATGTTTTTGCCATAGTGATATTTTCTTCATTGTTTCTGATAGTGGTCTTTTGTGTCTTCTTCCTTTGTATTAGTAGAAAATAATAACCCTAATAATTTAGGCTTATTAATTTTATTGATTTTTTTCAAAGAACTAGGCTGTATTTTATTAATATTTTTGTTGGCTTTCTCTTTGAAGTTTTATTATGTTCTCCTTTCTATTTGCCTTGTGTTTATTTGCTCTTTTCAAATTTATAAAAGAAGCTTAAATTGTTAAAATCATTCTTTTCTAACAAAATATTTAATATCTTAAATTTGCTGTTTTCCATCATGATGTTGAGCAAGATTAAAACCAGTTTACTGGAGAACAAATAAATTATACTTTGGGGACTAGTAAGGACTACAATTTGAAAAAAATAGTTTCATAGTTTTGAAAATGTGCTTTCTATGAACTTGCCTTTAAGGATATATGTTTGCTTTATCCACAGTATTTTGTTGTACTGTATTTTCATATTTGTTCAATTCAGAATGTTTTCTAATTTTCTTGACATTTACATTTCCACTTATTTAAAGGTTAGTCTAATTACTTCTATTAGTAATTTTTGTTGTTTGTTTTATTATGGTCAGAAAACATTTTGTGTGATTTCATTATTTTAGACAGATATGGTGCTGTAATTATGGTTCTGTTTTCCCTTCAGTTCTATTAACTTTTGATAAAATGACAGTTTTGTTATTGAGCACACAAATATCTTTGGTATATATTCGTGGTAAGTTGATCCTTTTGTCATTATGTAATATCTGGCTTTATTCTCACTAATTTGCTAACAATATCTTAGAAGCATTTTTTCTTTTTTCTTTTTAAATTTTTTAATTTTTGCCAGTAATCGAGTTTGTACTAAGAGTCTCATGCTTATTAGGCAAGTACTCTACCACTTGAGCCACACCTCTGGCCCTTTTTTGCTTTAGTTATTTTTGTATAAGATCTCGTATTTTTGCTCAAGTTGGTCTTGGATAGCTTTCCTATCTATGACTGTTATCACTCATAGCTTGGAATAGTAGGCATATGCAACAACAACTGGCTAATTTTGAGATGGGAGTCTCTCTACCTTTTGCTAGGCTAGCCTGTTCTGCAGGCTGTCTGATGACCTTCACCTTCTGAATAGACGAGAACAATCCATTTTTCTTTTGATTAGCATGTTTTTCTTTTGATTAGATGTTTTTTGTTTTGTTTTGTCTTTGGTGCTACTGGGTTTTGAACTCAGGATCTTGCATTTGTTAGGCAGGTACTCTACAACTTGAGCCATACCTCCAAACCCTTTTTATTTTGGCTATTTTTGAGATAGGGTCTCAATTTTTTGCTCAGCCAGCTGGGAATGTCACCAACTGGGAAACAGGTGCATGCTACTGATCCCACCTGTTTGTTGTTGAGATAGGATCTAGCTAAACCTTTTGCCCAGACTGGCCTTTGAATTTTAATCCTCACAATCTCTGTCTCCCAAGTAGTGTAAACCACCTGGCTTGTGTGGTATGTCTTTTCCATCCTTTTTAAATCTGTCTATATTATTTTTTATTTTATTTTATTTTGATTGTATGGGTTGGTAGATGCATGCACTCAGGACCTGGCTCTGTTCCTGAAGTTCTTTTGTTCAAGGTTGACATTCTACCACTTGAGCCACAGATTCACTTCTGGCTTTTTGGTGATGGAGACCAGAGTCTCATGGACTTAATCTTCTTGGATTGGCTCCCAACTGTGATCCTCAGATCTCAGCATCCTGAGTAATTTAGGATTATAGGCTCTGTATTACAATATTTTTCTGTTTCTGTTTTCTCTCCTTGGGCCCTCTTCAGTAGTCTTTTGAGCATTTTTTATTATTTATTATGTGCAACTGTCTTCTTGTATAGTTCTTCTTTTGTTATTATAAACAGTTATATGAATCCCTTAAAGACAATATTTTAACTGTTTAAGTGGATTGTAGAAATCTTAACTATTTATATAATTTTTCTCTGTTTCGTTGTCTATTAAAATTATGAAACCTATGAATGTTGTAATTGTCACTTAAAATTATTACAGAGTTGTTTTTGTTTTGTTTCCTTATTTTTATTTAAGACAGAATCTTGTATAGTTCAGGTGGCTCTCAAACTTGTAATCCTCCTGCCTCTGACTCCTAAATTCAGGGATTATAGGTATGTGTCAATGCACCCAGCTAAATTTTTTCTTTAAAAAAAACTCAAAAGTTTTTTTTTTTATTTCTGGTATGCTTCCTTAATTCCTAATGTTCGATGTTTACATTGGTATCATACTCTTTCCAGCTGAAAAACTATTTTAGCATTTCTTTTGGAGTTGATCTGCTGTTACTTTTCCCTAATTCATGATTTTTCTGGATACAAAATTCAATGTTGACAGTTCTTTTGTTTCAGCAAATTAAAATACATCATAGCTTTCTACCTTTGTGATTTCATTGGCAAATGTGTAGTAATTCAAATACCTTTTTTCCTTATATAAACATGTTACTTAAAAAAATCTCCAGAGGGCTAGAAAGTTGGCTCCGTGCTAGAGTGCTTGCCTCACATGCATGAGGCCCTGGGTTTGAATCCTCAGCACCACATAAGCAGAAAAAGCTGGAAGTGGTGCTGTGGCTCAAGTGGTAGGGGGCTAGCCTTGAGCTGAAGAGCTGAAGGACAGCAATCAGGCCCAGAATTCAAGCCTCACCACCGACCAAAAAAAAAACAAAAAAAACCTCCAGAGTTCAAGCCCTTCAGTCAACAACAATAACAAAAAAAGCTACTCTGAGTTTGTCA